TCCAATCTGCTTGATATGCATACATATGTAAATATATACATACAGACATATGTATAAGTAATAGTATGTTTGTATATACTTTGATTGCTATGTGCCTTTTCGTTTGTGCCTTCTCTCTTGTCTGGTTTTATGTTTGTTTCGCCCGGTTTAACCTTGAAAATTTCGTTGCTGATATGTTTTGCTTTCATTACAATGTTATTTAATTTTTGTATTTTACTTTTATTGCCTTTTGGTGGTGCGTTCGTTTCGAAAAATATTTTGCGTCTTAATTTGTCGTTCTCGCTGGTCTCTATCAGTTAGCCGGCAGACGCTGTTCATAAATTTCACGACCACTACAACGTTTCTTCCTGCACCTGCCCTGTCGTACTCACCTATATATGCACCAATATATGTATATATGTATGTATGTATATTTGTATGTATTTTTACAACAAAGCTTCACTTTCGTTTTCAAAAGACTTTGTTAGATTAGATTGGGTGTGCCTAGGCTGCTACTCACAAGCCTCTCGTTTCTTTCTCTTATTATTTATGTTAGAAGCTGTAATCGTAAGTTTGAATATGTGCATATATTTATATGTACATACATACATGTGCATATTTGTCTAAATATAGTTAAAAGCTTTCTTGACATTTATAGCTGAAACTTTTCTTCTCCCTCTTACCATTCCCTTTTATTTCCATGATATTTACGGAAAACTGCACAATATTTTTAAAATTATCCGAATTCGCTAGTTCCACTTGTCATCTGCTCGAGCAGAAATTTCCACTTGTAAGTGTTTTGATTGCCATGACAGAGCGTTTGTAAAAGTTACAAGTGGTGGATGGCGTGTGAATACGTAAAACTAATTTAAATGCAGTTGCGGATTTTGTGGTAGGTCAGTGCGATAACTAGACAATTTTATTTAAGTAACTTATATAATATACTCACTAGTTTAATATTTATATTTTTAAAGTTGTTTTTCATCCATTGTTTTTAAAAAAGTTAATATTTCGTTCTTGTGATTTTTAGGAGGTACTTCGTATTAACTTTATTCTATTTTTTCCGTAACTTACTCTTGGATGAGTTAGGCGGTCTACAGTTCAAGTCGTATGATGTCTTTGTACATATGTGGTGAGCAGGACTCCTTGAAGGTTTGGCCCCACTACTATTGTACCTGTTTTGTTCCACATCGTTACAGCGAGTTCATCCCGAATAAGAACACACTGAAGTGGTACCCTTTGCCCTTATTCAATTTTATTTCTTTATAATTGCCATTCTCTTATTACATTCTTTATGAAATTTAATGGTTTAATGGCTATTAATCAATTTATACTATAACCGAAATAAAATACAACAACATTATCTTATTTTATATAAGGAATTCCAGAGCTTGTAAATTTTCGGTTCGGTTCGGTTCATTATCGAACAGTTTCGTTTTGATTAAATTAATTGCGCCGCAATTCAAACCACAACAATGCAATCGTAAGTAAACGCCATTATTGTTAAGGGGTACTCCAAGAATGTGCATACATACTCGTTATATTATATATTTGTTTTGGTGCTGTAAATAAATTGCTGATAAGTATTTACAGTATTTTTTAAATTTATTTTTAGCCATTTCACATTTATCTTTAAAAGAGTTGTATAGTTTTGATAATACAGTGCTTTGATATTATTGATACATATTACATAAAAATAATAAATATTTATAATAATAACAAGTAAAGAAGGGCTAAGTTCGCATCTCATACTCTTGCAATTTGGCAGAATCAAAGCCCGGGAAATACCTTGAGGTGCAAAACGTCAACCAAATGATCGGAATACGAGCAATTTTATATACATATGTATGTACAACTCAAACACTGATATTAGTTATATACATACATACATATATGGGGGTTAGGTTAAGATTTGCCCTATTTTATACATTTGTGGCACAAAGATACGCTGTTAGCAAAACACGCTCTATTATTTTTTTTGTGGAAGTTCGAAACCCGATTCAACCTACTTTTAACACACAGACTTGCTATTATCGGAAAGGATTCTCTGCATTTCAATTATATATGTATTTCATACATCGACTAATATTTTCGGTCAAAATTCAGCTATAATTACTGTGGTCAACATATTTGGCCCTTAGGAGCTTGGCTTTGCTTCGATTAAGACACAAGCTGGCATATATATAAGGCACTATTCGTGGAAATGCCGTTATATTAAGAGGTTACAAGGGTTTCCTCGGGTAAAAAACAGCATTCTGTCAGCAATTTTTTTCGTATATAAAAATTTAAATATATTACAATATTTTATTGTTACAAACATACACTATTAACAAAGAAATTCTGACATTATTGGAAAAAGATATTTTGAACTCGGCCTTGGAAAAAAGATTCGTCCGCGTTGGCATGTTAACGTTTTACAGGATAAAACCATAATTTAGAACTTGGACGAAGGAAACAAGGAAAAAAATAAAATTTCAGTGAAAATTTTTCGCCATTTTGTTTCGAAAAGTTGTAATCGTAAAAAAATCCTTCGACCAGAGAATTGTATCTGAACTTCAACGGTCAGTTGACAAAAACGCGTTTAAAGACTGTGCAATTAGCATAGCTAACATCTAGCGCACAAGTTCTTAAGGCTGTATCTCCGAAACTATTACTCGGATCAACTTATAACTTTAGAACAATATTCCAGAGGTTTTGTAGAATTTAATAAAATAAAAAAAAGATTGATTTTTTGAAACCCGTAGACCCATGTAACCCCTTAAGTGGTTAGGGGTAGTTAGAATTTTCAAAAAATTTATTTTTTATTTTTTAAAAATATTCTCTGAAAATTTCACGTTGATCTGATAATTAGTTTTTGAGTTATTCCACAAATAACAAAGAGAGCTCGGGCCCTTCAAAGCGCTAGTGTGAAACTTTAAATGCGTTTTTCTGAAAGCTATGTTTTTTGAAGTGGTGACAATTGTAACTCGAAAACCGCTCAGTTGATTTTAATGAAATTTATACAGCTTTTAGAATACATAATAAACTCGTTCCTGATCGAATAATTTTTTTTTTTTAATTTCGATTTTTTAATGTTGATTTTTTCGAAAAAATGTCCTGAGGCCGCCATTTTGTAAATTTTGAAGAAAAAATCCTTCGATCAGGCCCAGGACTATCTATTTATAGAACTAATTTTTTTGTCCGATTGATTTTAGATGAATCTCCAAGGACGTATGGTTGTCACCGCAAGTACCTTTTTTTTTTTGAACACAAACAACCTTAACTTTGGAAATAAATTCTTTTTTTTTTTGAAATTTTCGTGACTTCAAGTCAACACATTCTATAATAATGCCATATTACTACTTTTGTAAAATAATACGATTTAATAGCAAAAAAATACTGAAAATTGTAATTTTTTCGTGCCTCTGACTACCCCTTAATAGCTTCTTGATTTGTGTATCGTACAGTTAAAGAATCAATAAGAATTTAAAATTGTGTTATATGGGAAGTAGGCGTGGTTTTAGCCATTTTCACACTGCCATAGGCATGTTAAATTAATGTAATGTACCGAAATTGGTTGAAATTTGTCGAGCAGGTCCCAAGATATGTGATTTCACCTAAATTACCGCGCTTAGGTTTAGGCTTAGTTTTATATGATACATATAACGGTTAGATGGTCAAAAAAACTATTCAAACTATTCAACAAACAAAAATTGTATAAACTTTGTTTTACTACTACTACTTTTAATTCATTAATTATTTATTTTTTTAATTCTATTTAAATTTATTGTTTTTCTTTGTCTTTTGATAATAATTTACGTTTTTATCTTTTTTATTTAATTTTAATTTTTTTAAATTTATTTTTTTAAATATTTTTTTTATAATTATTAAATAATGACTGCTTGTTTATATGTATCGGTTTCAACTACATAAGCATTCGCCTTATTATACAAATAATGCTAAACTTGGCAGACAAAACAAATAGAATAATTTTGTTTATGAAGCGACAAAGCTGACACATACTTTGATTTGTCAGACAGAACCGGCGTACATAAATACTACATACATACATAAGTACGATTAAAGCGAGCCAACTGCGACGCACTTCTAAGGCCTTAAACTCGAAAAGTGAATAAAAGCATACATAAATAACTACAATGGATACGTGTGTTAATAGAATGTAGATAAAAACAAACCTTCAACTAGTACTTTGGCTTTAAGTGCATGGCGGTGCATAAAATATTTTCGCAATTGGCAGCCAGTAAGTCGGTGCACTCAAAAGCCAAGCCATGCCGTTATAAGTATGGATGGTTGTATTTGCGTCAACTATCGCCCAGTTGTGATATTTAGTTAAGCATATGTGTGTGCATAAGGCTAGGCTGAAGATCTAGTGAGTCGAGATTGCCTTCGCTTGACGTGTTCGGCGTATCAAATGACGGTGGAAATCATTTGATAGTCCGGATTGGTTGGCTGGTTTCACGATTTGTTTTCGGTGCATTGAACGCGTCTTTCTAGTGCACTTGCAAACATATGTATTTGCATTTAGAGTTTGGCCTTTATCAGCGTATTAAGTATTTACGCTATGCAATTATAGACTGGTTTGTAGCAAGTTAAGGTCGTAATGTGAAACAACTGTTGCATTTTAAGGTCATAAAGCAGTTAATTTTAGTTATATTTTATTGAGTGATTTTTTCAAGTTTTAGGTTAGAGTTCGCAAAATGAGATTTTAGAAGTGTCTTTTTTTGATATCTATAGAAAATATGTTGATGTCTTTCAATTGAATAAATTCAGAAGATGCGAGAAAATGTCAGTTCGGGTTCCCAAAAATTGAATTTTGTATGTGTTTATTTTGGTTTCCATAGAAAATATGTTCAGATCTTCCAATTGAACAGACTAGGAAATTAGAAGATGCTAGAAAACTAGCTGAGTACGGGTCCAATTTGATCAGATTCTTTTTAGTATCTCAAATTAATTAGAACTTAAAAATCCCTTTTTTTAATTTTCATCGAACTAATTTTTGTTTAATCTTCTTAACTTTACAGCGCTGGATTCCTAATACGCCCGTTGTGAAGCCCTAAAGGTTTTGGAGGTTGTGAGGTTACTAATACCATTGCAGCTTTTGCAAACTCCACCTTTAAGCGCATACTATTATTATAAATTAACTGTTTTCTAAGCACCTGCTTGAAAAGTACAAGTCCATCCATAAGCGTGTTGTATATTTGAGTGAATGAGTGAACATTGTTTGTCGTAAAGAAATTGTGTGACATCGGAGCATAACTGCATATATTCATCTAACGCAAAATACATAAATAAATACCATAAAACTAAAAATTAACGTACTGAACTCAGGCGATTCTAAGAGAACTAATATTAAACGAGATGGATATCGAAACCGCCCAACAAAACGGCAATGCGGACTCACGTGAGAGTTCCGTGGAACGCGAGCTCAACGAGGAAGTGCAGGCTGTGGAGCTAAATGGCTCATCTGATTCGGCGAAAAGCTTGAATGGGCTCATGAAGAAGCCGTTACCTGTCGGCGATGGATATGATCGCATCAAACGCAAAGCCAAACGTCTTATACAGAGACAAAATAGTCGTGGCGAGACGAATGGTGCTGCCAGTGCAGCGATTGCCGCTGCACTCAATAGCACCACCGGCAGTTATGTTGTGCCACATCGTCGCTGGAAGAATAGTCGTCGTTCACGTAACGGCCACGGACGCGGTTTGCCAAAGAAAGGTGGTGCCGGCGGTAAAGGTGTTTGGGGTTTGCCGGGTTCGGAAGCGCTCGAGGAAGTGTACGAAGATGAGAATGATCCCAACTACGATAGTGAGTGTAATGATAAGAACATCGAATTGCGTGAAGTTATTCCGGAGGTGACACCGGTAGAATTCTTCAAATTGGCTGAACCAATTGTATTGGAGTATTATGAACACGGCGATACCCATGAGGTGGCTGTGAGCTTTGACGAGATACTTACCGGTCCGCTGCGACCATATGTGACAAGCGTTGTGGTTGAGATCTCAATGGATCATAAGGATTCGCAGCGTGAAATGACATCGGTATTGATATCCGATTTGTATGGACGTGTCATAACCGGCAAGGATATCGAGAGAGGTTTTGAAATTTTGCTCGAAAATTTACCAGACTTGACGTTGGACACACCGGACGCGCCTACCATACTAGGTAAGTAAAAGAGGTGGTCACACCAATTGCGACTAGCGTCATGTTGGCTTTTGTCTACACAGTGTTGCAATTATGTTGCAATTGCTTGCATTTACATTATTGTTTCGCACTTGTAGGCAATTTCCTTGCACGTGCCGTCGCTGATGACTGCCTCCCACCTAAATTCGTTACAAAGCCGACTGATCTCGATGCACAAAGTCAACATGCTGCCGCTGCTATACGCCGTGCTGACACCCTACTACACATGAAACAGGGTTGGGCACACTTGGACAATGTCTGGGGCATGGGTGGGCCACTGCGACCAGTCAAGACCATCACCAAGGAGATGACCTTGCTGCTAAAGGAGTATTTGTCGTCACGCGACATACAAGAGGCACATCGTTGTCTACGCGCACTCGAAGTACCACATTTCCATCATGAATTGGTGTATGAAGTCATTGTCATGACACTCGAATCCCTTAGCCAGACTACCGAGGAGGCCATGTGTGAGCTACTCAAGTCGTTGGATGAGGCATGCTTGGTATTGCCAGCCGGTATGGAGCAGGTACGTAAAATTGAAGAGTGCAAACTATCTTTTTAAATAGTGGTAGTCATTTTTTATAATCAAAATATTAAAAAAAAAAGGTTATGTATTAAGATAATAAATTTTTTGAAATTATTTATTTTTTCTATTTGTATTTTTCTTTCTTTGACACAGGGGTTCCTGCGCGTTTTTGACGACATGGCTGACATTGTTTTGGATGTGCCACTTGCATATATAATATTGGATCGCTTCGTAGAGCGTTGCAATCGTGCTGGTTTTATAACCGATAAGATTTTAAGTAATATGCCCTCTAGGTAAGTCTCCAAATCTACCGGTTTTAAGTATTTACATATTTAGTTGTAAATTACTATTTAAATATAAATTAGTGTAGGGTCTTGGGGTTTCAGCTCAGGCTTTATTGAACTTATAAAAAATTGCCAACTATGTCATAGCTGCTAATTTCAGTTTATATTTAGACTTACTGGCTCTCGTAAAGTGTATGTACACAAAGTTATAAAGTGGGTATTTTCACATCTGTTATATAGAGGTGATAACAATATAGGCCGCGCTACTATTTTCTATATCATTCGTTATCAATGCTTGCATACACATGTATACATTTTTATATACTTATACCCGGTAGGAAATATCAGCAAATTGTTTGGAAGAATCAAAATTCGAAGTCTCCAATTTGAAACCTAACCTCAAAAAGCTTTTTATTTACAAAAACAGCAAAATTTATGCTTACTGATATTTTCAAGCAGTATTATTTTATATAATGTGTTTCTAGTAGGCGTTTTTTTCATATTTTATCTGCAGAGTATACATAAGTGTACAAAAGTGTTTAGCCACCAATTTGTTGATCTACATACTTGAAATGAGCAAACTGACAAATACAGCTGCTATTTTTGTACACATTTATAATCTAGCGGTATTATGCAATATATTTGGTTTATATTTTGATTTTTTCCAACTCGCTGCTCATTGTAGTAATAAAAAATATAAGCGGTTATTGAGGTAGTTTTGGAAAAAGTGGAATTTTTTGAACATTGCAATAGCTATTTTTTTTTTTGCTTCAAATGATTGTAATAGCGAAAATGAGGGTGTTGGAATTTTTTTTTTTAGCTCAATTGACAGATATATTAAGCCAGTTCTTTATGGCTTTGTTTTTGATTTAGTGATTTGACAGTTATTTCTGTTATATAACATGTCTATAAATACCGTTTTTTATATTATGATATAAAAATCTCATAAAAGCAAACAAGTTTTGGTAGTTAATTATCAAATCAATCAAAGGTTTTGTATATAATAAATATTTTTTCTCAATTAAGCTTCTTAATTATTGGCAGAATAAATTTATTTTATAAACTATTACAATTTTTATCAGAGGCTTATCAAATGCAAGAGTAAAATATCTCGATCAAAAATAAAAATATATTATTTTCACTCTATTTAATTATATAAAGTTGTCAATGTAAGGCTCTCAATTCAGAATCTTGTATCGCGGTTTGATAATTTATTTAGCATTAAAGCAAAAATGCCGAAAATTACATTGTTTTTTCTCTAATTTTCTTTCTGAAACAAAATAATGAAATTAGTTAAACTTTGTGTACAAAAAGTCAAAAAAATATGTAGCGATTTTTATTTCATTTCCAAAATTAATTTTTTTGGTCTTCAGTCCCTTTAGCGAATTTTGGTTTCGGTTCATTTTCGAAGCGACAGCTAGGTTGTAGGCCGGTTTCGACGTTATATTCATAAATCTACCTCTTATCATCAGTAAGTGTGCCTCTGATGTATGTAGGGTCATATGCTAAGTTGCTAATCGTCTCTTTTGTGACCTTTTCCATGTAAAAATTGTCAAATTTTCGCGTCGTAAAATTACACTAATTAGCATATGGAGACCAAAGTTCAAATGTGACAAAGAAAATTTTGAAATGGGCCAGTCCGGATCCAATTTGATCCAATGATCTGCAAAGCGGCAGGATTTACAATACAGACACTTTTAGAAGTTTCTCACCAAATTTTGATTCTTTTTTTTTGATGTCCCTAGATATCTTTTGAAAGTTTAAAACATATTCGGAATAACCCTATATGGTTCCTATTAATTCCATCTTGTTCGGCGATATATTTAATTTAAATTCGTTTAAAAATTGCTACTAAAACTCGTAATTTATTTATTATTATTTGTTTTAGTTAAACAAATTCAAATCCCTCTGTAAAAAAAATTGTGCCCACATTTTCATATTCCGTTCTAATACACCTACTGAAGAAATGGCTATTTTCTAATTTAGACTTTATTATTCTTTTGTCATATAGTGAGCAAATGTAAATTAGCACTTTGTTTATAGACACCGCCGTGCCGTTTTAGTTCACAAACATCATGCACCTATTTATATGTATGAAAAAGATAATAGAAATACTAGCGCAATGAAAGTAAATAAATACGTGTTTACATGGATGAACATTATACGCTTGCATTCGCCGGCCGGCCGGCTTTTTGCTTTCGATCATTTTGCTCATTCTGAGTACCGCAAACTGAATTCTGTGCGAACATACATACAAATATTATTTTAATAGTGTTTTCAAGCAATTATAGCTAGCTTACATAAGAGACCCCAAGGCATAATTTGTTGTGGTCTAGCACACATGCATAAATAGAACTACTTATTTAGTAGTTGAAAATATTTTTGCTATTTAAAAATTTACACTAGCGAAGTCATTGTTGCTTTTCGCCGGGTTTAAGTTTTCTCCGTAATTTTCGCAGCTAAATAGCAAAAGAGCTACATATGTAGCTTATATGTTTATATAAATATATATGTACTTGTGTGTATGTACAAAATTACACATATTGTTTCTTGTCGTTATTATTATCGCAGCGATTGCGTAATCATTGTGTACTTTTTCTGCACACTTTCATACATATATTTCGCCGGCTATTTGTTGCCATCATTGTCGACTCGTTCTTGTCGTTCGTTCATTCGTTTGGCCTCCATTTGTTCCAACTCGTTACGACGCAACTGGTTCGTCTTGTTTGAACATTTATAGCTTTTACTCTTTTTTGGTTACTTTTTCAGCTTATACAAAAAAAAATATCTTTCTTTTTTTGAAATATATTTATTTTCTTTTGCGCTAACTTTTTATTTTAATTTGTATACATTTTTATTTTCATTTATACTTTATTTTTCATTTTGTTCGCCAACTAGCTATAGCTTTTGTTTATTTGCATTATACTGCCTCGAGCACGTTTATATATTGAATTTTCTGCTGCGCAATTTTTGTTATGACTTTCATTTGCTATCTGACTCTGCTGGCTTCGCTTTAGCCGGCACGGTGCAGAAAGCCAGCGCAATTCTAGATATGCATACATACATACGAGTACAAGCATACAAGTTGTTCCAACAAATACCTATTTTATATACTATGTACATCCTCATAATGTATATAAGTAAAGTGTGCGTGCTTATTTTAAAAACAAACAAGCATACGCGCCTATATGTATGTATTGGTGTCTGCATTATTCTTGTTTATGGCTTGTGTTTACCCGCAGTTTTGCCGGTTTATCACTCAATTGTCAAAGCTGCCTGGTGTGGCACTGATATACATATGTATAGTGTATGTTCTATCTCATATATGTATGTTATGTATACCCATATAAAAGTTAAATACCTAGATTGTATAAAATTGTATATAGATTGCTATGTTGGCAATAATCAATCATTCACAGCTAATTTAATCCCTTTTTTATAACCGGTTTTAAATCAGTCGCCCGTCGCCACTTGGCTTAAAATTTGTTTATTATTAGCTTAAAACTATACGAAATAAGTGTAATTAAAGTCTATTTATTTATTAAACTATTGGTAAATATGTTTTTTTTTTCACTTTTGTTTCGCCAAAACCTGAAGAGACTTCTTGACTAGAACTTACTCGTCTGACATTGAATTTCTATATATTTTGGTCTGCGCTTTGGTGTTATTCCATAAAGTCTTTCCTGCAAGTTTAACTCGATTGCCATTGGATGCTGGACTTTATAAGAAGAAAGTTTTCAATGAAAATGAAGACATCACCGTTATTAGAAGCAACTTATTGTTAGACCTTCTTCTCTCAGGTGCATGCCCTTAAATCGTAATCTTTAATACGTTTGCAGTGATCGTCATCAAAAGGGGTGTCGCTTCTACGAGACTGTTTTGTTTTTTTCATAGGTGATGTGATTTTTACGCGGTGGATCCCAATCCTTGCGCACAATCCTGAGAAGGAATGTTTCGCCTTCAAACATATTTATATTTCTTGGCTCCCCAGAGGATACTTGTTCTAAGACCGGAAGTCGTGAGCTGCTTGAGCCATATGCCAAAGAATTGTTTCTGGCCACTCCCAACCGAATGGCGCTGAGAGAACTTTCCTTCCTTGCGTGAACTTCTATACATGGCTCATCAAAAAAATCAAATAAATCAGAAAACTTGTAGCGATATTATTTAATAATGCTGCCTAGTTGACTGTCAGTGGGTAGGTTGAAAATCCGGGTACGTTCTGGTTCTGAAGAACCGACTGATTGGAAGCTTGGAACCTTTCAATACTCATGGTGAGGTTATGTTTCTTTGAAATCAACTTAAAAATCCAAAATCATTCTCTGATACTAGTTTTGCTATCTTCTTCCTACTTATTCTTTGTATTTTAGTAATCGAACACTTTTTTGTTTTTTTCCTATGACAGTGAGTTATTAACCTCTGTCTTTAATCTATCTGCCATTAATTTTGATTAAATCATAATTTTTAATTGTAGCAGTTTTATCGTTGTCTGATTTATCACATTTTATACGCTCGTGTATGTATGCCTCCATTGACCTCACACAGGCTTTGCTGTATTTATTAAAACCAGTGCTGATGAAATGTGTGTGCTTTTGTGTATTTTGTTGTTTTTATTTTTTAATTTTAATATTCCATTTCTTATTTCAATTTTAATATTAAAAACCAAAAATAAGCAGAAAAATTGAAAGTCAGAAAAAAAATTTAAGTTAGGCTTGTCAGATATTTTTTGAAACCCTAAAAAAATAATATACWTATAAAAATATCTATTTTTAAATTATTTTCATTATTTTTATCCAAGAAAAATTTTTCAAATTCAAATTTCTAATTCAAAATGTCAAAGCACTAACTTGCAAACGTTGCCACGTCGCTGCCCATGTGACAAGCAATAAACACACACATACCTTTCAACTGGTGTAATGTTATTTTATTTCGTGTGTGCGAAGAAGCTTTTTATGAGGTGCAACAACCTGCATGTGGTTCAAGATCGCTCCACAAGCTTTTCGTATGATTTG